GAGATTGTTCCAGATTCTCTGAATCTTTGGATGATATTATGCACTGTAGATGATGATAACTTCACACTCTTTGCAATTCTTCTCTGAGAAACTCCTTTCTGATATTGCTCCACTATTTTTCGCCGCAGCATTGGGGGAATTGGTGATCCTCTGCCCATCTTGACTTCTGAGAGACACTGCCACTCTGAGAGGCTCTTTTTATACCCAATCATGTTGCCGATTGACCTGATAAGATGCAAATTGGTCCTCCAGCTGTTCCTTATATGTACATTTAACTTTTCCGGCCTCTTATTGCTACCTGTCCCAACGTTTTTGGAATGTGTAGCTCCCATGAAATCCAAGATGAGCCAATATTTGGCATGACATTTCAAAATGTCTCACTTTCAACATTTGATATGTTATCTATATTCTATTCTGAATAAAATACTGGAATTTCAACCTTCCACATCATTGCATTCTGTTTTTATTCACATTTTGTACAGTGTCCCAACTTTTTTGGAATCGGGTTTGTAAAAAAATCTGTATAAGCTAGGACAAGTCTATTACATTAATACAGGTGGTTAAAATTTTGTAATTTAGTTTTCATGTTTGTCTTGTACTGTAGGCCTGTTTCTGGATTTCAGTTCTAATTTTTTACTTTCTTGCATAGAAACTAAGAAAACATAAACACTGGTATATTTACATGCACATGAAATAAAGAAAATTCCATCTCTTGCACTGTATGTAGCTGCCATTTTTGTTTTGCCACTAGTAGACTGACAAATGACAGTATAGAATTATACAATCTTAATACTTTCATCAAAATCTGAAAACTTCATCTTTAAGGTTAATTGTTATATTTCCCCCCCCAAAAAGCCAAACAAACTTCTCTTATTCTTAATGTCTGGTTTGCATTTTCCCTAACATGAAAAAAGAATCTGTGCATCTATATTTCTACTAAGTTTGAGGTATTTCCTCATCTACCAGTCAAACTCATCACATCGTCACGATCTTAATCTTTTTGCTTTAATTCTAATTGAATAAAAAAGTTAATTTTTGTATGTATTCATGTGCTGAGAGTAAGAATCTAAAAAAGTTTTAAACACCTTGACACTAAACACACTGCTACAGAGGAACCATTTCATTGTCTACACCTGAGACAAATATTTTTGTCCTGCTAAGTTTTCGAGGTTCAAGTTGTACTTGTCTGCAGCTGTGTAGACCTAAAAGCCTTTTCTCAGCTGGACTTAAGTAACTGAAATGTTGGATTTTGTGAAAATAATATCTAAAGGACAGAAATGAGACAAGAAAAACAGGAAGTTAAAACATACTGTTCTGTTATGACTATTTGTACACATTAAATTATGCATTTGTAAAATTAGAAAATATACCCTTCTTTAATTTAATGCTCAGTTCATGCAATATAATCAAACTGTGTTTAAGAAATGGAAAAAAAAATCAAACATTCATGCACATGTCAGTGAACCACTCTCTTTTGTTGTCATTTGCATTTTGCCACAGAAAAAGTCAGTGTGCCATTTTTAAGAGATCTCTACATATTTCAAACATTCAACTGGGATATCATAGAAGCTCTTAAATAGAAAACATGCAGCCTATGTCTAATAATCCACATGGGGCCCTCTATTAGACCGCTATTAGTCTTTTTCTGCTTCTGCTGCAGGTGGTGGTTATTTTCAGAGTGACTGCCCCCTGCAGGAAGGTCAGGCTCCTACACAGTGACTGCAACAGCAGCTTCTTTGGCTCTTCAGCACTAAACACATTCGTTCTGTGGTCAACGATTCTCTTGAGATAAACGTGCCTATTTTATCAGAACATTTTATTTGCATTAGCTTAGTTTTGTCATCAAATCTGTCACTCATGTTGTATGTGACAGCATTTAAAGATAAAAAAAAAAGTACAACCGACTATAAATGTCAACTCTCAAAAGAATAAATGGACAGGAAACAATCACTGTTTAAAAACCTGTTTATTGTGGCGGTGGCATTGTGTACTATTCTTTTAAACAATCAGTACATGTCGAGGTAGAAATCATTATCAATATGAAATAAATGTGGGAGCTAACACGCACACACAAACACACACACACATACAATGCAAAGTGTGTTTTGCAAGTCTCCACACTCACATCCACAGTAATACTGTTGAAATGCAGTATTATCATTTGCACAACACTGTCTCATCAAACTTGTACAAGCTGAAATGATTCAACATCCAGCATTTCCATTCTGTGCACAAACAAAAAATAAATATTCATCATGTTGGAGCACCCAAAGGATGCAGAAACCATCTTCAAATAAACGTTTGCATCTTGACTGTAACGGCTGACTGGCCGATCACTCTAACCGTGAAGTTAGTCCATCCCTTTACACAGCCATCGCTGATGATGTAGTCACGCTTAGTTTCAGTAGGACTACAAACATGGGCTTCAGGGGAGTGAGAGTTTTGAGTGCTGCTAGTTGGCTTATACTGTACTCATGTTCAAGTGCAATCAGAGATCCTAACGAGTCTGTGTCCTAACAGGCTCATGCTGAGAAGGAAGGGGGTAACAAAAATAGATAAACATGAAGAAAAGATGTTGCCCTGTTGGTGTAAAGTTTAAAAAGAATACCTGGCATGAACAGTATTCCAAAGACGATTTGAGTATTGGAAGAAAACAAACAAAACCACACCCACACACACACACACACACACACACACACACACACACACGTTATTTGACCCAGCAGATGTTGAGACAGTGAGCGATGAAGGCATAGGTATCAGCCACCTCCTGGATGACCTTGCTAGTGGGCTTGCCCGCACCATGGCCTGACTTTGTGTCCACAAGGATGAACAGTGGGTTTGTCTGCTTGGGGCTGCGGCCTACAATGTACTGCAGGGTGGCGATGTATTTAAGAGAGTGGAGAGGCACCACCCGGTCATCGTGGTCCCCTGTCAGCAGCAGTACTGCTGGGTACTGGACTCCATTGCCCTCTGGGATGCAGATGTTATGGAGCGGGGAGTATCTGAGACACAGGAGGAGTGGGAAGGTTGAGAGGCCAAACATTAGCATAAGAGTAGAAAATACTAACAACCTGTATGATGGTAAGAACTGCTGTTAATTATCCTTTTAACTGATCTATTCACCTGCAGTTTATATTCTCAACCAACTGATTAATCAGTTTGCCTATAAAATGTTTGAAAATAGCTAAAAATGCCTGTTATAACTTCACAGAGCCCAAGGTGTTGCCTTTAAATTCCTTGTTTAATCCAACCAACAGTCCAGGGTTCCTGCAGTGTTCAAGTTCAATTTAAGACTTTTTTAGACCACACCGAATGCAATTTAAGAGTATCCATGCTGAAGCCTGCACCTTTGGTTTTTAATGTTGATGTAGATCCAAATGTTGTCCAGAGGCTTCTTACAAGTGTTGCAGGAGTTGGAGCGGAGTGGGTCGTGCTGGGGCCTTGATGACACTCTCACTCTCATTTACCAATACAGAAAGTATCCTTTGTTGGCAGGCACTGCCATGAGCTGGAGGCTTTTAACAGTGGTTCTGTGTTTTCCTGCACATCTTGCAGTGGGTGGCAAATGCGTTGTTTATGAGGCTTCAATTCAACTGAGAATGAAATCCGCTTCTTTTCAGTCCAGGTCTCATTAAACTTGCACTCCCCAAAATCAGGCAGGTTTTTTAAAAGAACGCTCACTTATAAGAGACGCTGCATTCTCCAACAAATTATGTCCGGGCTGCAAAATTTGAGGATATTCTGATTCCAAGTTGGTTTGTTTTGTAGTTTTATTATAGCGTGATAAATACGAACTTATGAGAGAAAGTACTACAACATGGAACCGACGTACCGCAGGCGGTATGACTTTGTCACCTAAAGATTTCCCCAAAACCACGCCTGAAGTTAACGTGAAATTACAGGTGTCAACTGAATGTTAAAATAATCAGCTTAACCTAAGTATGATCAACATTTTTTAAGACCTATCAAAATTGTATTTAAAATTGTATTTTTGATGCATAAAATTCAGTTGATTGAATTTTTAGACTTTTTGAGGACGTGTGGAAACCCTGCAGTTCAAAACCCAAAGATGATCATATATGACACAAACATAATTCTCACATCGGAGAGGAAGAAACCAGACAATGTTTCACAGTTTTAAACAATAACTGAAACAACAAATATATTATCAAAATAGTTGCCAGTTAATTTTGTGTTGATCGACTAATCAATCCAGACCTAATTTTGGTTACGAGTGTTCTGTAAACTAGTATAAATACAGAGATGAATATGAAAAACACACATCATCTCTAGACAATCAGAAAGTGCTTAATTCAGTAGGGCAGTTGATATGAATTCAATATATTGTATATTTTACACTGACAAACATATACCTACTTGATGAGCCACTCAAACTGCTCTTTGTCTTCTGAACAGCCAAAGTCCGTGGTCCAGGCATGGCCAATTGTGAACTTGTGGAACTTCAGCATGTCCATGACACCTACCTGAGCTACAGCACAGGCGAACAGCTCGGGCCGCTGGTTCACACAGGCCGCTGAGGGAAGAAACACAGATGACGACAATCAGGGCAAAACAGTAATCTTGCAGCAAAGACAACCCATCTGAAGCTTAGTCTGGATGTTGGGCTGTGTAGACTTTGTTGTTTTTTTAGCCAGTGGCATACACACCTACAAGCAGGCCACCATTGGAGCCTCCATTTATAGTCAGTTTGGAAGGTGAAGTGTATCCCTCCTTGATGAGATATTCAGCTGCACACTGGAAGTCTGTGAAGCAGTTCTGCTTGTTGGCCAACATGCCAGCTACAGAGACAAATACAAAGTACACAGAGTTTTTGTGCTGGCATTATATACAGTATATATCTATAGATTTTGAAAGATAGTGCATTTTATAATGAACAAAATGGATGAACATAATAAATACCCTACTATATACAAAGCTGCTAAATGCTACAGCAGGACTGAAACAGAGCTACAGAAGCAGGAAAAAACTGCATCAGTATCACTAACATCCTGTTTATCACATTACACAGCTCTGTTAAATGACAAATCCACATTAACCCAGGACAACTAAAACAGTTTCCATGATCAGATTTATAGCAGTGTGTCTTACACAAGTCTCCTCACCTTTGTGCCAGGTCTCCCCGTACTCTCCTCCTCCTCTGATGTTGGCGACAGCCAGGACTCCTCCCAGGTGTCGGACAAAGATGAGTCGAGAGACACTGTAGCTTGGCGTGATGGAGATGTTAAAGCCTCCGTAGCCATACAGAAAACCTGGATGTGATCCATCCATTTTGATGCCTTTCTTGTGAACTATAAACATGGGAATCTGAGAACCATCCTTGGAGGGATAAAAGATCTGGCAAAAATATGGAAAAAGACGGACTGATTGTTTTTTGTTTTTTTTTTCTCCTGACATCTTGATTAATACCTGTTATTCACTGGCTCTGTACTTTTAAAACATCTGATTGATGTATATGCTGTTCTTGAAACGTCCCAGCAAGTAGACTTTCAAACTGCTGTGTACTTTACTTATCAGAAAGAAGATGAGAGGTTCTGTGTAAAACCTCTACATCTCTGCTTACAAATAAAATGAAATTTTGTCAGTATCAAAGAGTAGCAAATATTCCAGTTACCTGGGTGGTCTGGTAGTCAGAGGGACTGAAGCCTTTGACAGTGACCTCTCTAAAGATGTGGGGCTGCAGCGGCTCCTTGGTCAGGTCACAGTGGTAAATGATGGCTGCATGAAAGTAAGAAATTCATCATTTCATTTTTTGCTTCTAGCTTCTCTAAATCACTTGTGAACACAATATGCAACCCAGAAGATAAAGCAACTGTCACGAGCACTGTAGCATGTTTAACATGAAAGCAAACAAATGCAGCACTCAACATTTTCATAACATACAGAATTTATATTCATATAACTGCAATCATCTCAGCACTGTTAGCAGTTTTTTCCTCAGCCTGTGTCCTCATACATAACCCTGTACATCTGAAATCTGGAAAAAAAAAAAAAAAACATTTCACAACACTTATCTTAGGCTTAAAATGATTTTCTACAGCAACAAATGTCATTGCCAGTGACATGGCATCAATACCTAGACAAACCGAGTTGCTATATTCATCAATAGCATGAAGCATTTATCCATCTTTTACCTGGGGATAAGAAAGAAGTGAAATAATAAAAGATCTCAGAGTCTCGCTTCCGCCCTGTGAAGCCTACTACAGAGCCAACATCAAGAGGGAAGGTCCTCAGCTCCTCCCCTGAGCTCAGACGGTACATTTTCAGCACATTCTTCACATCGTGGAGGAAACACACAAACAGGTAGCTTGAGTATGTACAGGTGGCGAATACTGCAGGTGAGACATAATCAACAAAGTAGAATTTTATGTTAACAGAAAAAGATCATTTCAAGCCCTAATCTACTGCAATTTAATAACTGCTAACATGTATTGCAACAGCTGACCAATAACGTCCTTGTCATGTTGTGGGATCAGTTCATTCCAGTTGCACTGATCCGGAGAGGCAAAGTCGATGTTGATGAGGCGGTAACGTGGGGCATCTAAGTTGGTCTTGAAAGTAAACAACGTGCCCTCATTGGTCACATACTCGTACTCGGCGTCAAAGTTGTCGATTAGCTTCACCCATGGCAAAAGGCCTAGACATAAGAGGAGGAGTATTTTAGACCTACACAAACCTACATAAACCTACACAATTAAAGACAAGCTGTGACTCTCTAACCAAATGTAATGTACCTGTAATACCCTCAGGAGTGGTCTGGAGGTCACAATACCACAATCTGTTGACTGGATCACAACCTTCCCTGATAGACAGCAGCACGTAGCGCCCATCATCTGATACCTGCAATAATCATGCAATCACTAAACCATTTCTAAATATCAAGCAACACTTATATTCTTTTTAGGACATTTTTCATTTTTAGAAAAAAACAAACAAACCAACTATCAGTTATACCTCAGCCCCACTCATCCATTTGGGGTGATCAGGGAACTCAGCACACAGCACGTCCTCAGACTGGGGAGTCCCCAGAACATGAAAATACAGCTTCTGGTAAAGGTTGGTGGAGGTTTCAGTGCCTGAAAAATACAGAATATCAGTTTTTCAGAAGATCTAATTTATCTTTAGTCTTAAATGTTAGTTTTAAGTAATTACTGTGCTTTACTAATTAGCTAATCATTTTTTAATGTTTTAAGGGGTAGTTTTAACACGCTCTCACCATCACTCTTGCCCTCCTGGTCAGGATAGGAGTTATAGAAAAGTCCTTTGCCATCATGTGTCCAGGACATACAGCTAAATTTGACTTGCTCCAGGTGGTCCTCCAGAGGCACTGCACCTTCAACCCGCAGGAATCGGATTTCCACCCAGTCGGACCCACTGGCACTGGTGCCGTATGCCACGTACTCCCCGTCCTCAGAGAATGCATAGCCTTAAGGAAGAGGAACAGAAACAGGATATCAACAAAGACAGCAGACTTTATTTAGCTGTCAGTGTGGATGTGACAAATAGCAGACTAATTCTGAAATATTACTAACCTTCAGTAGTTTATTGCCATATTAAACAACATTTGCGGTAATCTATCATAGCAGCATTTACAAAGCCATCACAACACAAGCATTTGCTCCCCTTCATGCAATTTCTTGCAAAATATAGCTTTTACTATCCAATGAGCAAAACATAACACAAAATAATCAATAAGTAAACCTCATAACACAGCACAAGGTCATTTTTTGGTCCTACCTCTCAGGGCAACTGTCCCATCATCAGAAAAAGTGTTTGGGTCTAAGAAGACTGTGGGCTCAGCATCCAGGCTCTCCTGCACATACATCACACTCTGGTTCTGAAGGCCTGTGTTGTAGAAGTGAAAGTACCTGAAAATAAGGAGGGAAATCATTAAGATGCACAGGAGGTTGAAAGATCTGTGTGCCTAAAATAAAAGACAAATCCAGTTTGCTTTGATGTCGCCATAGAGTGTCACAACTTACATTACTTTAAAATATTAAGGAAATGCTAAAACATGATTCTGTTGCGGCTCGCTAACTCACCTACTCCCCCTCTTGAAAGGGCAGCTATACTTGGGGTAATCATAAAGCTCAGTCATACGCTCCTTGAACAGGTCTCGCACCTCACAGCGCTCTAAAAATGGCAATGTCAGCTGGTTCTGAGCACTGACAAAGGCCTGGTGGAAGAAGACACAACACCAGTATAGAGACGTTTTACACATCAGTGCATTATCGCCCCTGCGATCAGTTCTAGGAAGCAGATGTACTGATTTAACTGAATTCTTTTGCTGAGTAAAATCAACAGTTGTTTTTACATCATGTTCCAGGCAAGGGGTTTTACTTAGTAAAGCTATCCAGATCACTCAGTGAACTGACTTCTTGGTAAAAGGGCAGTGCTGTCAACACAACTTTAAAATTGTGAGTGCCATATCACCACTTACAGTGGGTACGGAAAGTATTCAGCCCCCCTTAAATTTTTCACTCTTTGTTATATTGCAGCCATATGCTAAAATCATTTAAGTTCATTTTTTTCCTCATTAATGTACACACAGCACCCCATATTGACAGAAAAACACTGAATGTTTGACATTTTTGCAGATTTATAAAAAAAGAAAAACTGAAATATCACATGGTCATAAGTATTCAGACCCTTTGCTCAGTATTTAGTAGAAGCACCCTTTTGAGCTAATACAGCCATGAGTCTTTTTGGGAATGATGCAACAAGTTTTCACACCTGCATTTGGGGATCCTCTGCCATTCCTCCTTGCAGATCCTCTCCAGTGCTGTCAGGTTGGATGGTAAACGTTGGTGGACAGCCATTTTCAGGTCTCTCCAGAGATGCTCAATGGG